GGCTTTTTCTTTTCTCAGAGAAAAACAAAATTAATTACCTTTTACACTTCAGGGAAATGGAGGCAACGCTCTCAGTTTCCGACATCGCAGCTGGGGGCCCACGACATTCATATTCGATGTACAACATTTACATCAGTCAGCCCTTGTAGTCCTCTTACACCTCTTCAATCTTATTTGGGCACAAGGAGTTCTTCCCCAGTTGTGGAAATCTGCCATTGTTCTCCCTTTCCGCAAGCCGGGTACTACAGGACATAATGCCTCCCACTATCGTCACATCGCTCTTACTAGTGCAGTTTACAAAGTGATGGAATGTCTGGTAAATCGACGTTTAATGTGGTATTTAGAGACACACAACAGTCTCTCCGCTAGTCAATATGGCTTTCGTAAGGGCCGTTCTACCATAGACCCCTTACTACGCTTGGATACATATGTTCGTAATGCCTTTGCGAATAATCACTCAGTTATTGCCATATTTTTTGACCTTGAGAAGGCATATGACACAACTTGGAGGTATAATATTTTGGCCCAGGCCCACTCCTTAGGCCTCCGAGGCAATCTCCCATCCTTCCTTAAGACTTTTTTAACTGACAGACATTTCTGTGTTCGAGTCAATAATGTGCTTTCCCCGGACTTCATCCAAGCTGAAGGAGTCCCTCAGGGATGTGTTCTGAGCACAACGCTTTTTCTCCTTGCTATAAATGATTTGGCTTCTGTTCTTCCTCCCAATATTTGGTCATCACTCTATGTTGATGACTTCGCTATTGCTTGTGCCGGCGCTGTCAACTTATTGCCGTTTCTCTCCAGCATGCAGTCGACCGTGTTTCCACTTGGGCCACCACGCAAGGGTTTAAATTTTCCAGTACCAAAACTCACCAGATTACTTTTACTAGACGCTCTGTCATCTCCGATCATCCTTTGTATCTCTATGGCTCCCATATCCCCGAACGTGACAGTCAGGTTTCTAGGCCTTCTCTTTGACCGTCGGTTATCCTGGAAACCTCACATTACCTCTCTGAAGGCAACTCGTCACAGCCGGCTAAACCTTCTTAAAACCCTTGCTCATCTTTCCTGGGGAGCTGATCGTCGAACTCTGCTTCGCCTACATTCAGCCCTCGTTTTATCGAAACTCGATTATGGTGACCAGATTTATTCAGCTGCCTCTCCTGCTACTCTCTCTAGCCTTATCCCCATACATCACCATGGATTACGTTTATGCCTTGGTGCTTTTCGCTTTTCCCCTGTTGAGAGCCTCTATGCAGAAGCGAATGTACGCTCTCACGATCTCCACAATCCTTCCATTTATAGAATTGTCACCGATATTAGTAGATATTCTTTATTTGTTCGCCGCCCCTGTTTGCTCCGTCCCTTTTCTCTTCGCCTACATTCACTCTTGTCTTCCCTTCAGTTACCACCTTTATGTGTTCATGTAGCATCTCACTTTTCCGTACCCCCCTGGGAAGTTCCAGCTGTTCGTGTCTGTTCTTTCTCACTCCCTTGCTCGAAAGCCCAACTGCCTATGGTGGCTTCCCGCTCTCTTTTTCTTGATCACTTCCACTCTCATTCTCATGCCATCGCTCTCATGCCATGGCTCTAAGTCTTCAGACGGCGTCGGATTCACAGCAGTGTTTCCGGACAGCGTCGTGCGGGGGCATTTACTATCTTCGGCTAGCATTTTTACTGCTGAATTGTAGTCTTTTTTACAGCATTATTATATCCACTATGCCTGTGGCATCTTTTGTGGTATCTCAGACTCCCTTAGTGTCTAAGGCTATAAAAAAATTTGATACATCTCACCCCTATTCTCCATATCCCATTTTGGGCTATCCCTTTTCTTACCAAACATAAAGATATTGTCTTTTTTGGGTCCCGGGTCTGTTGGACGGGGCAATGAACAGGCAGACGCTGCGCGGTCAGCAGTCATGAACCTACAATTTTTTCCTATAGGGGTGTTCCATTTTGGACATTTTGCTGCAATACCCCACCTTATACCCTTTTGGCAACAACTTTGGGGTCAACTCGCTGGGAAAAAAAAACTTCATTTTTTTAAAACCGAGCATAGGTTAGGGCCGTCTTTTTGTCATCAGTCCGAGGTTGGGAGACCACTCTCCCCCGCCTTCGCATTGGCCACACTCGCTTACCCAGGGGTATTCTGGAGGGCACCCTGTTCCTCTCGTGACAGGTAAAGTTTCCCGTATCGATTAGCCACTTCTTTTAGACTGCCTTTTTTCTATCAAGGCACGCAAAATTTTACCCTGCGTCGTCTCCACTCTAACTCTCCTTTACCTCCCTTCTTGCTGATGGACCCCCCTTTTAATCCTGACTCTCTCATTGAATTTCTTGACAACGAGTATTTCCCTCCCAAACTCTGATGATAAAAACCTTTCGCACCCCCCCTCAGCCCTTTCTAGCTCAGTCTCTGCTCCCCTTTCCCCCTTTCACCATCCACTGCCCCACGTTCTCCGAAACCTATTACTCCCATCCCCCTTTTTTACCACCTGATACCCTCTTTTTCCTTTCCCTGCCCTGCAGCACTATTATACCCCTTGTGGCTTAGCGCTTTTTTTTGATTAATAATAATAATAAAATGTCAATAAATCCCAGACAACAATCTACACTAACTATATTAAGTTGCAATAAAAAACAGGCATTAAAAATACAATAAAACGTAAGGTACACACAGGTACATTTTTACTTACCTTAAAATATTAAAATTTTAAAGTGTGAGAGGTGAGTGGCAGGGGGTTTTTTGAATAAAATCAAAAAGGGACCCATATCCTCTAACTTTTCACTTAAACAAGGGTTACGCTCCTCTTTTTATCACAGCTAAGCTTAAAACCCCTCATCAATGAGAGCCAACTAGTTAACGAAAGAGTAAACAAGAGAGAACGAGATACAAGTTCAACAAAAGTAAGAATACAACGAACAGGGAGTGGGCGACCTTTGGGCAGGCGAAAAAAATCTAAAATTATACTTTTAGTTCATTCACTACGTTTGTAAGAGTTTGTAAAACATTTACCTCAATATTTTTTTATTATAATAAATTACCTCACAATACAGATACCTTACATTGTTACGGTTAGACAAATAAACAAACAGCAAACAAAAAAATTTTTAGAGTAATGAAGATATTTAATTATTTTTATTATTTTATTTTCAAAAAAGCAAAACCCCCCAAAAGGGGTTTTGAATTCTATATACAGTAAAGAGTGAAGGCATACCGGAAAGATTATTTTTAACAGTTATCCCCCCGTTTGATTGAGAAAACATAATTTTTCCGAAAATACCTACACAGCCGCTTTAAACAAATTCCCAAATTTACTAGTTTTTTTTTCTGTAAGTGTATTACCCTGCTTATTGCTATGTAACGGGGTTTTTTATTAATTTTGAGGAAAATATCATAGATGGATTAAAGAAAATGCCTATATTAAGTAAAAAAAGACATTTAGTCTACCCAAGAGGATTATTTTTACGTTATTGGGGTCAGAGTAGAGAGACTTTGCGATTTTAATGTGTACCTGCACACCGCACAGTGTTAAGTAAATTTAGGTACAGGGAAAATAAGTATAATTTTAAAGAGTACCTATAAAATAGCGGTAACTTTTAAAAAAACTTGAAATTTTTTAAAAAATTTTTTGACATAATAAATGCGGTCACGGAAAGAAACAAAAACCCAGTGGGCATGCCATATTTTGAAAGACCGCTTGCCGTATAGCAAATTTTGGTCATAATTTGACATTGCCATATTAGTGGAACACCGTAAGGCGAAACGCCATAAAGCGGGGCCCTACTGTATGTATTTTCTTTGATTTAACCCTTTCACTGTCAAGACCCCTGCTCACAAACTTACTCTCAGTGTCGAAGAATTTAAAAAAAAAAAATTCCTTATGAAATGATAGAGAATCTTTTCTCGATGGTAATGACACCAATAGTAATACATTTGATGGAAAACTTATACTTACACTCTCTCAAAGTTAGTGGTCTTGGCGATATACATGCATTGACGATTTTGCTCTCTTTGAGCCCAGTGTTCCAGTCGACCAAACTCATAGCTATTTTGCTAGAACTCCTTTTGTTCTATCAACTGAGTACAAGAATTTCCCATTTACTGATTTTAACTACCCAATAAAGTGATCAGAAAATTGGTAATTTGTTCAATTTCATATACAATTTAAGGAAGGTCAGTTTCAAAATAGGGTCCAGAATTAACTATGCAAACATCCTAGCACTAAATAACATTTTCTCTATTCATTGGTCACATCTCCAGGCCCCTCTTATATTATGTTTGCTTTCCATTTTGAATTTTCATTCACACAAAAAATAGATTTACTGTTATGCAGACTACTGCATTATTGTAAAAATGGTATAAAATTAATATTAGCGCATTTGTGAAAGCACATTAGACCCACCAGTTGATGTGTATTGGATGTGTGATGTGATTTGTTTACTCTCGAACATCAGCAAGAGTCGAACAAATATTTCCGATACTTTGAGTTCAATTTCTAGGTACTTTGTAAACCATTCAAAATCATCTATAGTTCTGTATTATATCTTCCATTCTATCAAATGAGACCAAGAAAACAAGAATAAAACCATAAATACCATACAAAAATACACCACAAAGTTGCTGTTTTCAACGAGAAACAGGGTCTGAGTTTTTTGTTCTTATGCACTGCGTGCTGCAGGATTTTTTTTTTTATGCTGCACACACTAACCACTCAGACCCATTCTCTCGTATGTAGGCCTACCAGCTTTATCATACAAGATTGGAAGCTGCTACAATTTTGGCATACTATTACGGGACCAACACTGCTTTGCAAGCTGTAATATTATGGGACCAACAGTGAAATGGTTAAATAAATTATATTTCCTAATGGATCAAAACTTCAGGCTGTATAACCCCTAACAGTTCTAGTACTTTTGAGTAATAATCATCATAATAAACAATAGACTAGGGGCATTTATGATTTTGTATACTCTTATTGTAAGAATTAATAGGACTATTATTTCTCAGATTCATAACATGTATTGGTTAGATGGAGGTCATGCAGGTGGTAGCAAGACATGGATTACGGCACCTGCCATCTTAAAGTCTCTTGCTGCTTTAAAGCACATAAATATCTTCATACATGTTACTCCTTATCAGGTAGGAATATCATTTTTTTATTTTATTGGTAAACAATTTTGAATAGTGATTATAGTACAAATCCAGATTCAATAGAAATATCGTTGAATAAATAAAGCTCTTACATTACAGGTACGAGATGAGCAAAGACCATGGATAAGAAAGGAATGTAAAGCATTTTATGACATCTTGCGTAGAGCAGGAGCCAAGGTCAACTACTCTCTCCATTTTGAAGATGAGCCAGCTTCTTTAATATTGCATTTTAGAATTCTCAACAAGTTTATCTGAGACATCCAGTATTGTTCCCTCTACAGCAATGTAAATTATGTTATATAAAATTGTCGAGGGTTTCTTACAGGATACTGGTCTCAATTTTCAGTAAGATAATCATGTTTCAAGCACTTTTAAATAATAATGTGTATTTGGTTACATTATACTGACATAAGCATTATTTGCATCTTATATTCTAATTACATTCATGCGGAAGCACTAAGCCCATAGGGGTCATATGATGCCTGGAGAATGGGAGGTAATCAGGTTTGATCTAACAATGGTGACTGATAATTCCAATCCCATGGAGCAAGAGCCCTTCACCACCATCAAGGCACCCCCTGAAGAATGAAGGAAAGATAGCAATCAATAGTAAGACAGTATTGATAATAGCTCCATGCAGCAAGTTTTAGACAGAGGGCTTGGGTAGTTTCCACAAGGGACATGGTATGGCAATGCCAGTTGTTCAGGAAGAGAAATTACAGGAAGGTGTAACAACTTACATAAAAGAGCATTACAGAATGTGACAGACTTTTTTTTTTTATACAACACTGGCCACCTTCTACTGAGGTAGGGTGACCTTCACTCACTCCATCACAGTCTTGCTAGACGTTGTGCCAACATTATAGCTCAGATCCCTCCTGCAATATCCCCACCCCTTCAGAATGCAGGCACTGTATTAACCACTTCAAGGACTCAAGTCCAGCTAACCAATTTCCCTGAATCCCTTCGTAAATGTTACCTTGCTCACATGTCAAGTTGCAAAAATGGTCACTTAGCCTCCACTCCTGTCTAAAAAACACACACACACACACACTCTTGTTGGATGTCCAGCAAAGAACAACTTTAATTTCTCTTTCCTGGGGGGAAATAGACAGGGAAAACTGGCAGATTAGCCAGGAATGGGATGAAATGATAAGAAAGTGATCACTATCTTGATTATTTACCAGCATCCAGTCTAACTCCAGCACAACAAAAATTTAAATATTTGAGATCAGTATATAATTGAGTCCCACTATACACGTATACGATAAAAAGTACGTGTACTGTATACAGGTAAAAAAGTTGCCAATAGGACCCTTCACAAAAAAGAATGGCAATTGCATTTAAAATCCCCCGACCCAAAAGTAGGATTGGTTCAGGTAAAGCTCCTCTCAAGGAAAGTGCCTTGATGCGGTAAGGGGATCTTGATCCAAGGAATTTTGTCTTTCCATAGATCAAACCTGGTTGCCTCCCTTTTTTTTCCAAGTGCTATATGACCCCCCTACAGGTAGTGTTACTCCACGAATGTAATAATAAAAAGAGTCGGGCAAGGATGAATCTAGGTTTGCATTGTGCGTAATGGGAAGGAGACTGGTACCAAGAGAAAATTTTTTGTACCCTCCAAATAAGCACAAGCTGTTGTACAAGCCACTGTTTGAATTGACAGTCTGGTACAGGTTGGCCATCATAATCTGGCATCATTGGACCTATAGTGTGCCGGATTAATGAGTTTGCCAGATGACAGAGTGGTTAGGTTAGAATACACTTAATTAACCTATCAATAGAGAGACTGCTGAAAATAAATGGTATAAAATACCGACACAATGGAAACAAAAAACACCATGCAGTTTAATGTGATCCTTTATTTGACCAATAAAGGATCACATTAAACTGCTTTATGGGGTTTGTTTCCAGAGACTCTGCTACATCTTCCTCATTTCATCACTGTTTTCTCCTCCACTGCTTGCTGCTGTGGATTTACAACCACCTGCACAATTTCTGTATATAATGCTAAATTTTTGAGTCAGTATAATGATAAAAATTTGAAATTATGCTAGCCAAAATTAGTGCCAGATTACTGATGAAACCGGGTTAAACTGATTACCGGATTAGTGATGGCCGCTCTGTACTGTATATGGAATAGTCTTTAGAGTGTACTCAAATTGTAAGGGTATCAAAACAAAGGCAGACAGGAAGGTCAAAAGATGAATAACAGTGGACCCCCGGTTAACGATATTTTTTCACTCCAGAAGTATGTTCAGGTGCCAGTACTGACCGAATTTGTTCCCCTAAGAAATATTGTGAAGTAGATTAGTCCATTTCAGACCCCCAAACATACACGTACAAACGCACTTACATAAATAAAACTTACATAATTGGGCGCATTCGGAGGTAATCGTTATGCGGGGGTCCACTGTAAATTACTTTCTTGGGGGCATACAGGAGGAAAAAACTGGAATATAGCATCCTGTATCCTTTTATCTCCTGACTGTAAGTTTTGTGATGCCAGTGATGGGCTATTGATCCCAAAGGGAAATTGGAACCCGCCCTCTCCTTAGATTGAACTTGAGTGCCTCCCATTTCCCCAGGTGCTGTATAGAAATCCTGCAAGTTTAGCACTACCCATGAATGTAATAATAATGTATTTTCTAATATTTCAGTGTAAAAACTTAAGGAGGTCCCAATTATGAGAAAAGGGGCTCTTTATCTGAGGGGAAACAGATCTATCCTCCTTACCCTTATCAAATTTGATTATCTCAACTCTCCCTCTCTCTAATAGACCTCTTTAGTGGGACATTATTTTTTTGTTTTTTTTCCCTTTTGTGAAATCCATCTAAAAAAGGAAAGTCACCACTGTCTGGTCTGTTCTAATGTACTAGCTTCTGTTTGCAGTGGTAGTGATGGGAATTTGACCCCCTTAGGGCATGTCAGGTAACCCCTTTGGTGAAACTTCAGAAGGCTATCAGGCACAACTGAAGGTGTAGGACTCCTGGGATTCTTGCTAGTTCACCACCCACTTCTAATTTTTAGACCAACTGCACACTTAGTGCACTTGTCTAAACAAGTGGTTTTGTTAAAACCTTGCCAGTGTTCTAGAGGTACTGTCTTGGTGTTGTTTCACCAGGTATAGTGAAAGGTAGTTTCCCCGGGAATAGCAAGACTACCTGATAGTCATTAACCCTTTCAATGTCGAAGCCCCTGATCACAAACCTGCTCTGTGTCGAAAAATATTCGAAAAAAAAAACAAAAAAATTCTTGCCAAAATTTTAAGAATATTTTTTGAGTGTTTTTAAAAAATATGCAATCGTACTTACCGAGATATAGAGGAGTGAAGTTGACAAAAAGTGAACCCCTTATGGCAACATCGACAACTTCCGCTCACTCGGTAATATTATTTTTACTTTTAATTTTTAATATTTTATTTTTCAAGTAACTTTGTGGCTTTGGGGAGACCAATATGTATAATGTGTAATTTATATTTTATCCACTTGTTGTATGCAACACAATAACCACACAAACATTATCATTATATTGTTTACAAAACCTGTTTACACAAACCAACAATAAAAAAAAAGCTGTTCATTACTATTGTTCTATAATACATATTATTTATTTTTTTAAATTATTATTATTATTATTTTTTAAATTATTATCACACTGGCCGATTCCCACCAAGGCAGGGGGGCCCCGAAAAAGAAAAACTTTCACCATCATTCACTCCATCACTGTCTTGCCAGAAGGGTGTTTTTACACTACAGTTTTTAAACTGCAACTTTAAACACCCCTCCTTCAGAGTGCAGGCACTGTACTTCCCATCTCCGGACACAAGTCCGGCCTGCCGGTTTCCTGAACCCCTTTCATAAATGTTACTTTGCTCCACTCCAACAGCAGTCAAGTTTTAAAAACATATGTCTCCATTCATCCTATCAGACACGCTCAGCATGCCTGCTGGAAGTCCAACCCCCCTGCACAACAAAACCTCCTTTACCCCCTCCCTCCAACCTTTCCTAGGCCGACCCCTACCCCCCCTTCCTCCGCTACAGACTGAAAACACTCTTGAAGTCACTCTGTTTCGCTCCATTCTCTCTACATTCCGAACCAACCTCAACAACCCTTTCCCTCAGCCCTCTGGACAACAGTTTTGGTAATCCCGCACCTCCTCCTAACTTCCAAACTACAAATTCCTGCATTATATTCACACCACACATTGCACTCAGACATGACATCTCCACTGCCTCCAGCCTTCTCCTCGCTGCAACATTCATCACCCTGCTTCACACCCATATAAGAGCATTGGTAAAACTATACTCTCATACATTCCCCTCTTTGCCTCCAAGGACAAAGTTCTTTGTCTCCACAGACTCCTAAGTGCACCACTCACCTTTTCCCCTCGTAAATTCTATGATTCCCCTCATCTTTCATAGACCCATCCGCTGTACACGTCCACTCCCAAATATCTGAATACATTCACCTCCTCCATACTCTCTCCCTCCAATTGATATCCAATCTTTCATCACCTAATCTTTTTATCCTCATAACCTTACCCCTTTCCTGTATTCACCTTTAATTTTCTTCTTTTGCACACCCTACCAAATTCATCCCCCAATCTCTGCAATTTTCTCTTCAAAATTTCTCCCAAAGGCACAGTGTCATCAGCAAAGAGCAACTGTGACAACTCCCACTTTGTGTGTGATTTTTATCTTTTAACTCCACGCCTCTTGCCAAGACCCCCGCATTTACTTCTCTTACAACCCCATCTATAAATATATTAAACAACCACGGGTGACATCACACATCCCTTTTCTAAGGCCTACTTTTACTAGGAAATATTTCCCTCTTTCCTACATACTCTAACTTGAGCCTCACTATCCTCGTAAAAACTCTTCACTGCTTTTCAGTAGCCTACCTCCTACACCATACACCTGCAACATCTGCCACATTGCCCCCCTATCCACCCTGTCATACGCCTTTTCCAAATCCATAAATGCCACAAAGACCTCTTTAGCCTTATCTAAATACTGTTCACTTATATGTTTCACTGTAAAAACCTGGTCCACACAACCCCTACCTTTCCCCAAAACCTCCTTGTTCATCTGCTATCCTATTTTCCGTCTTACTCTTAATTTTTTTCAATAATAACTCTACCATACACTTTAAACCCGGTATACTCAACAGACTTATCCCCCAATAATTTTTGCACTCTCTATTGTCCCCTTTGCCCTTTTTACAAGGAACTATGCATGCTCTCTGCCAATCCCTAGGTACCTTACCCTCTTCCATACATTTATTAAATAATTGCACCAACCACTCCAAAAAATCTATCCCCACCTGCTTTTAACATTTCTATCTTTATCC